AGAGAGAGAGAGAGAGAGAGAGAGAGAGAGAATGAAGCTTAAGCGGTCGATGGTGGATAACAGGGTCCCGGGCGATGGAAGAATGCGAAGCAAGTACGGTCTCGGTACAACGTGGTACATAAGCCGGATGGGTTCGTCTCGTGTTCCAAGTATTACAAGAACGATGTCCACGTGTCGGGACTGTCAATTCGTAAAGTTGCGCGCGACGAGCATCTTCGTCTACGTTCGACCACGTTCGGCCACCGGGTTTTGCCCCTTCCTTCCTCACCTTTTCCACGGGGAACGTTGACTCCACGAGGCGTGGCGCCGGAACTCGAGAAACATCCTAGCCCGACGACCTCCTCGGAAATTACGTGAGTCGAAATCGCGTTCCATTCACGATTGCCGTAAGCCTAACTAAACTGCATACATACACGCAGTATATCTCGCAGTTTAGATCCATCACGATCTTTCTCCCAACCGGCCGATTCATTAACATTCATTAACGTTCGTCCAGGCTTCAGATTGAATTTCCCGCCATTTTGCTTCCCCTACTGCAATCGCAATCAGTTTCTCGGAATCAACGAAACAAACGAGAATAATCGATAAGATAAGTTTCCAACGCGAAAGATAAATTTCCCTTCTTCTTTTTCGCTTGGAATTCTAACATGCCCGCCGTTTAAGGTCGAAACAAAGCAGAACGAACGATCTTGCACGTTTGCAAATTTCAAAAGGAAAACTTGAATATTCTTCGTCTTCTAATAATTCGACCGAGCGAAGAGAACAAAGATGTAACGAACCTGGCGTTACAGTTACATTGCTAACGGATCGAACATGTTGAAACAGTCTCGTACCGATACCGAAGCGGTCGTGCGTCTGCCGTGGTGGCTAGCAAGCAGGAAACGAAGCAGAAACTGAAGTTGCGAGTGCATATTATTGATCGGTGGGCCACTAGTGCGCCAGCGCAACGCAATCCTAAGGGCAAAAACAGTAGCAATCTACCCTCGTTCACGTTTCGTGCAGTGTTCTAGTGCCGTTCTATCGTCCATCCGGCGCTTTTACGCTTGGCAAAGTGTCGTCGCGCTTAGCTAACATGTCCG